CATTGAAACACCAGTTCACCTATGATCACTGAAGTTAAGCAATGTTGAGCCTGGTCAGTACCTAGATGGGTAATCATTTGGGAATACCAAGAGCTACAAGTTTGAATGTGTAGGTTGTGTAACTGATAATGACTTGGAATTGGAGATCAGAGAGTTGAATTCTAATTCTAGTCAGGTTTATTATATACTTATGTACAAATAGCCTTTGGAAAGGTATGAATCTCCCCTACCCCTGAAGTATGAGTTAATTAGTAGGACTTGTCCCAGTAAAAACATTATCTCCAAAATATTTTTACAATTTAAAAAAATCTTTTCTGGCTTTAAATAACCTGCAAAAGGTTGATAAGCCATAAAAAACCCAAACAAATCAATCAGTTCCATTCCTTCCTCATCTATTGAAAAGGAGTAGTGGCTTATCCCTTGTTCTCTATTTAGGATTGGGTTTCTGGTACCTTCTAAAGTCTTCTCATTTTCTTTCACTTTCTGTAACCACTTGCATCTTAGTGGCAATATTGCCTTGCTTGGGGTGAAATGAAACAATATATGAACCATTATGTTTTTGTATGGAGAATTAGTGTGTAGTATTTGTGATAGTATTCTTTGTAATTCTGTAGCAGTAGTCTACAAGATATGAAAAAGGAAAGTCCTCTTCATGACCTTCATTCCTTTGTATCCATTTTTAATAACTAATCTGAGGAAATGGATGTATAAAGTTTATAGTTTAGACATTTCTGAATAAGTTGGATGCCATGCATGACATCCGTGTGAGGGTCTAGATCTGAGAAGGTGTTTTAAATACATAATTCAAGTTCTTATATTAATGTGGTTTTGTAACAATTTGACAAAGAACGCAGCCCATGTTCAATTTCCCAAAGTGGTTAGAATGTGGCATTTGAAGTGTTTAGTATTAATATATTAATAAATTAATATTAATCATTAAAAAATAGTATTGTCACTTAACAAAAGTTTATAAATGTTTATCGCTGTGGGTTTCCTCATTATTCTTATTAAGTTACTAAATATTTACTCGGACAGCATTTTGATTTTTTTCCTCTCTATTTTTAATTATTAATTTATTAATATTTTTTTTGTGCCCTAGAATTTAATACTTAATTTAATCCTCTGCCACAGTTTTCAGTTTCATTTAATAAATATTAAACTGTACAAAATCATATTATCAATATAAAGGCACATCGCTTCAAAGTAATGGACTTTCATTTTTTAATAGCCGAACATCCAAAGCAGAATCGATACAAAAATTTATCTAATTTCACTGTTGAAGATAGAAAAATACTGTGTTTATTTTCTATGTTAACAATTTAACTCTGTTTTTCAAGTTTGTTCCCTTTGGGTATGTGAGAAATTTATAAAACTGCCCATTGATGTCATCTGACTGAAAGTTGATTGATAAACCTAAAAACTTTGATGTCATGAGTTTTCAATTGCCTGGGGTTGAAAAATGTTGTATTAAACTATTTAGCAAAACTTAATATTAATCTGAGAGTCTAAATTTGACCTATGATTTTATCATTATTGAATCATAGGTCAGAATTTTTTTTTTTTTTTCAGTTAAGATGTGATTTCAATGATTATAAGCTGATCTCTTTTTTAGTTAGGGGTTTAAATCACAGATAGACTGGGCTTTCCATTTTTTTGATGGCATCCAAACTAGGCAAAGAACAACTCTGGATTCCAAAAACTGGAGATGGCCAATGAGAAATGACTCCACTTTTTTTTTCCTCCAACAATCCACTGTAATTCACAGATAATGAAGAAATCAGAACTATAATCATCCATGTACCTTCAGGACATGGAATTCAGAAAAAAAAGAGCACGGAGAACTTGCAGACAGTCAATACTTGATATTTTCTTTTTTTCTCTACATGTGTGTTTCTTCAGAGAGAGAAATGATTTATGTTCTGGGTATGATGATGAACTACATCTGTGTCCTCGGTAAGATGATAAACTACGTCCAACAGCAAGGCCTCTGATCAGGAGGTTTTGAGGAGTGTGGAACCACCTCTTAATTGCTGGTGTTCCCAGGACCACCCGACCTGGGGTGGGTACCACCCTGTTAGGGTCCCAGCTATGGGCAAATAGTTAACCCCCAAACTGGATCCAAACACTATGAAAGTGTAAAAAATAGGGTTTAGTACTAGAAATACTCTGTAAGAAAAAAAAAAAATTATTATCAGCAATACATGTTTGAAAAAATTTACCAGCAATATATTTTTCCAAAAAAAAAAAAAAAAATTACCTGCAATAAAAATCTTGTTGGCATTAAATAACCCATTGGGATTGATAATGCCCTAAAACAAAACAAAAAAAAAATAACAAAAAAGCAAAATGATTTGATTTTAAAAAATTCTGCTTTTTCTCAGCTGTTGTTAAAAATAAGAATGCATTAATAAAAAGACATGTGTCAGTTATTGATCAGAACATTATTTACCAGCATTCACTGGGATATAAGATATGGGACATAAGAAAGTAAGTAATATATAGAATTTCAGCATTCTTTGCCGAATGCAGAAAGGGAGGGAAATTAAACACTCTCAGATCATACTGTCCAACAGTGGTTGAAACATTTTAAGTGGGGGTGATTTTCCCCTGAAATAAAGTTCAAAAGTGGATGACCACCAGTTGTTGAAGGCTTAAGGCCACATCACATTGAAACACTGGTTTTCATATGATCACTGAAGTTAAGCAACATCGAGCCTCATCATTACCTAGATGAATGACCGCTTGAGAATAATAGGTTCTACAAGCTTGGATGTGCAGGTAGTGTAATGGTTAACGGCTCAGAAATATTAATTGGAATGCCAAGTTCCAATTCCAATTGGGTTTGTTATATTTACAAGTACTCTTGGAAAAGGTATGAATCCACCTTTTCTTCCCCCACATCTATTGGTTAATTAGTAAGACTTGTCACTAAAAGCATTATTATCTATAAAAACAGTTGTATACAAAATAGTTAGATTTTGGCATGAAATAATCTAATGAGGTTGACACACCACTAAACAAAAAAGAAAAAACAAAACAAAAAAAAAACACTTGTTGAATCTTTTTATGTGCGATGTCCTTTAAGGACATGAGCGATCATAGCTCTCCCCAATGTCCTGTTTTTAGCTGCTGTAAGTAATTTTTTACCTGTTCCTTTTTTGCCTTTGTTCTGCCATTTATTTGCACAAACTTATTAAGGAAGTGATTTGCTATTTCCTATTGTTTCTCTTGCCTTCACTATGTCCTGTGAGTGTTAGATTCTCCAAGCTTTCTTTCCTTGTGTCTCTTTGAGACATGGGCGATGTCTCTTCTAGATGTGGATGATCATAGCTTTCCACAACTTTCTATCTTTTCTTTCTCAAACTAATTTTATCCTTACACATCCGTCTTTGTCCTTGTTCGCACAAATTCATTAAGGAGGTTACTTGCTACCTCTCTCTGCTTCTCTTGCCTTCTTGTAGCGTCTATTAGGGTCCCAGCTATGGGCAAATAGTGACCCCCCCCCAAAAAAAACAAAACACTATGAAAGTATAAGAATATATATTTATAGTAAAATATATATATATATATATATATATATAGCAAAATGACCAACAATACATTTTATCTGAAGGCCTGCAATTGTTTTCAAAACATGTGAATAATAAGAAAGTTTTAAAGAAAAAGGGAAACAAAAAGGACATTTAAGAAACTTAAAATCTGAAAGAGACAGTTGACATTTCTAGGAAAGATGGCTTGGAGAATTTGACACTCACATGTCATTGAAAGGATAGGGACAGAAGAAAGCAATGGATAATCTACCTGATAATCTTGTATAAATGGTTGGCAGAACAGAGATTAGGAAAGATAGCAAAAAAGTAAACCTTACTAAAAGCTACAGAGTACAGGAAGTTGTGGTGAGCCATAATCACCCTTATTTTGATGAGACATGGCACATAGCAGAAGTTACATTCATGGAGTGCTCTCTAATTATTCATCTCAAAATCAACTGTGAAAAGGTTAAAGAGTATGAAGATTGTTTCCCATCAACTTTAGATTTGGGAAGAGCCTTTGTGCCTGTTGTAGAATAAAATCAACATCCAACCATAATTTCTGAAATATTACAAGGGTTATATATAAGATGCACTTCCCCACTTTTGCTTGGAAGAAAAACCTAAAAATCACCTCAAATTGTTTATAACAATAGGCATAATTGTGTTAAAAAAAAGAAAGAAAGTAATAAATGCATAACCTTGAAAATCAGAAAGCATCTCGTCAAGCAAAATCCAATAAATAATTGAAAAGAAATTACAAGGAAATGAAGGCTACAGAGAATAAGCATCATGGTGGAAGCTTCCAGTACATTGGTGAAGGAACTCCAAAGAATGATTGCAGGGAAGATGGACAACAGGAAAGTAAACACTTGGAATCAAAGTGTCTGGAAATTTCCATTTAAAGAATTTTGATTGTTTCTCATGTTTTGTTATGTCAGTGACAAAATCAGTTATTAGTTTTGTGTTTAATTCTGTACAAACCTGACAAGTATAGATTGTTGGAATATTCCAAAATCAGTGGTATTTTGGTGGTGTTAGAGTAGGAAGTGTGTGTATCAGTTGAGCAAGCTAAAATTGGTTGCCTTTTTGCCCATATGAAACAGGGCGCCATTCTCTTTATTGCACCCCCACACTCTCTCTCTCTGTTTATATCTATCTTAGCCTGTGCTGTGGCATTATAATACAGTAGAACATGTAGACCTTTGTGAGGATGATTCTTTTTTTAAACCTTGTAAACTTGTGAGAACCACAAAATGACAAAGAACTATACCAGTTAACAGAAACCACATCTCTTGAGGGCTTTCAACAACAGCAACACAGGGTTATTCAAAAAGAATGAACTGATTTCATGATGCATTTTGTCAGTTCTTGAGCATCATTATGGAACAAGTCAGTGACTTTTTGAAAGAGGAATTTTCCAAGTTTTGAATGGCTGCCACAGGGGCGCTGTAGTTGCATCACATTTTCAGCAGCGTTCAGTTGTTTGCTTACCCCCAGAATGGCAAGTCATTCTATGTTCTTGAAAATGAATATGTCTGTCATGTTGCAGTATGCTTTTCGAAGGC